TCGATGTGCTTCGTTTCCGGTTACGTATTGCTTGTAATAAGACTTCAGGAGTGAGACACAATCTTCAGCGGAACAATCTTTTTTGAGCACTGTGTGCCGCTATAGCTCAGTGGTTAGAGCACTTGTCTTGTAAACCAGGGGTCGTGAGTTCAATCCTCACTGGTGGCTTATTTGAAGAAATCAATTTTTTTTATAATCGACAGCGCTTCCTATGTAAGAAGGCTTCAGACCGAGACACAATCTTCAGCAATTAATCTATTAAGAGTACGTATTACCATAGCTCAGTGGTTAGAGCACTGTTCTTTGTAAACCAAAGGGGTCGTGGTTCAAAATCCTCACTGGTATTGGCCCAGAAGAAATCAATTTTTTTATAGTCGACAGTGCTTCTATGTAATGGCTTCTGTGTCTTTGTGGCGCAGTCATCGACCAACAATGCTGTGGTGTACTGCAGCTGTTGCCACCATAGCTCAGTGGTTAGAGCACTGTCTTTCGCTCCAGAGTGCGCGAGTTCAATCCTCACTGGTGGCTTATTTGAAAATCAATTTTATTTATAATCTGAAACCTTGATTCTATGTAATAAGACTTCAGAGTAGAGACACAATCTTCAGCAGACAATCTTTTTTTGAGCACTGTGTGCCGCTATAGCTCAGTGGTTAGAGCGCGTCTTGTAAACCAGGGGTCGTGAGTTGAAATCCCCTCGCAGGTGGCTATTTGAAGAAATAATTTTTATAATCGACAGCGCTTTTCTATGTAAGAAACTTCAGATGAGACACAATCTTCAATGGTTTTAATCTATTAAGAGTACTGTGCTTACCATAGCTCAGTGGTTTAAGAGCACTGATATGTATAAACCAGGGGTCGTGAAAGAGTTCAATCCTCACTGGTGGTTTATTTGGAAAATCAATTTTTTTTTATAGTCGACAGGGTACTTCTATGTGGCCAGGCCTGTGTCTTTGTGAAACACAGTCAACAAACCAACAATCTTTGTGGTGTACTGTGTGCCACCATAGCTCAGTAATTCGAAGCACTGGTCTTGTAAATGGGGGTGTAGAACCCAATCCTCACTGGTGGCTTATTTGACGAAATCAATTTTTTATAAATCGACAGAGCTTCTGTGTCTTTGAGTGAAACACATTCATCTGCCCAACAATATCTTCTTACAACTACTTGGCACTATAGCTCAGTGGTTAGAGCACTGGTCTTGAAATGTAGGGTCATTAGCAAGTTCAATCCTCACTGGTATTGGCTTATTTGACGAATACAATTTTGTTGTTATTATTCCACAGCGTTTCTTTCTAATAAGTCTTTGAGGTATTTTCAGTCAACGACAACAATCAACTTACAGTCATGCGTACCACCATAGCACTGAGGTTGAAACACAGGTCCTTCTACCTTTGGTTGTGAAGTCAATCACTCACTGTGGCAATAGAAAATCAATTTTTTTATAATCGAAGCAGCTACATGTAATAAAGACTTTGAAAACACATTCATCTGCCCAACATCTCTTTTATGGTACTGTGTGCCACCATAGGTCTGATGGTTAGACACTGGTCTTGTAACCAGGGGTCGTGAGTTCAATCCTCACTGGTGGCTTATTTGAGCAGAAAACTATTATTTTTAATTGACAGCTCTTCGATGTAAAGAAGACTTTCAGATGAGACACAATCTTCAGCTGAAAATCACTTTTAGAGTACCTTTGACCTTACTATAGCTAAGTAGTTTAGAGCACTGGTCTTTAAACCAGAAGGAACGTGAATTCATCCTCACTGGTGGCTTTTTTTGAAGAAATCGAATTTTTTTTAATAATCGACAGTGCTTCTATGTGTGTGCTTCTCTGTGAGCTTCTATGTCTTTGTGTGAAACACACTCATCTGACCAACAATGTTTTTAGAGCACTGTGAGCCACCATAGCTCAGTGGTTGAAGCACTGATGCTTGAAAACCAGGGGTCGTGAAGTTCAATCTCACTGGTGGCTTATTTTGAAAATCAACTTTTTTTATATCAGAAAGAGCTTCTATGTCGTCTTTGAAAGAAAACACATTCATCTGCCCATGATCTCTTTATGGTACTGTGCCACCAGCAGCTCAGTGAAAGTTAGAGCACTAGTCTTGTAACCAGGGGTCAGCGAGTTTCAATCCCCTCACTGGTTGGCTTATTTGACAAAAACTATTATTTTAATGGACAGCACTTCCATAGCAAAAACTTCAGATGAGACACAATCTTCAATGAACAATCTTTTTAGTACAATGACGCACTTATAAACAAATTGGTTGAGCACTGGTCATATAAACTGAGGGGTCGTGAGTTCAATCTTACTAATGTTGGCGAAAACGATTATTTTTTTAATGGACAGCGCTTCTATGATATAAGACTTCAGATGAGACACAATCTTCAGCTAAGCAATCTTTTTTTAAGGCTACTGTGTGCCACCATAGCTCAGTGGTTAGAGCACTGGTCTTGTAAAACCAGGGTCGTGAGTTCAATCCTCACTGGTGGGTTTTTTGAAGAAATAATTTTTTTATAATCTGACAGTGCTTCTATGTAACCGAAACTTTTCTATGTCTTTGTGCGGCTTACGATCACATCTGACCAACAATCTTTTGGTGTGCAGTACTTTTCCTTAGCTCAGTGGTGAAAAAGGAACTGATCTTGTAAACCATGGGTCGTGATTTCAATCCTCACTGGTTTATTTATTTGAAAATCAATTTTATTTATAATCGACAGCGGATCTGTAATAAGACTTTACAAGAGTGAGACACAATCTTCAGAACAGAAATCTTTTTTTTAGGCACTGTGTTGCCGCCTTAGCTCAGTGGTTTGAGCACTGGTCTTACTTTGTTAACTTGAGGGTCTGAGGTTCAAATCCTCACTGGTGGCTTTTAAGAAATCAATTTTATTTACTAATCGACAGTGCTTCTATGTAGTGAGCTTCTAATTGTCTTGTGTGAAACCATCTGACCAATAATCTTTTTTAGTTATGTGTCGCCACCATAGCTCAGTGGTAGAGTACTGAATCTTGTGAGAACTCAGGGGTCGGGAGTTCAATCCTCACTGGTGGCTTATTTGAAAAATCCAATTTTTTATAATCGATAGCTGATTCTATGTAAAGATTTCTTTCTTTGTGTGAGAGTGAACATCGAATTTCGAACAATCTTTTTTTAGAAGAATTTCCAATTATTGCCCGCTAGTCAGTGGTATAGAGCACTTGATCTTTGTAAAACCAGGGGTCGTGATTCAATCTCACTGTGTTTTATTGGAACGAATTTTCTTTTTAAATGGACAGCGCTTCTATGTAAGAAGACTTCTAGATGAGAACACAATCTCAGCCGAACAATCTTATTGAGTACTTGTGTGCAACATCCATAGCTCAGTGGTTAGCACTGTGTCTTGTAAACCAGGGTCGTGAGTTCAATTCCTCACTGGTGTTATTGACAGAATATCAATTTTTATTAGTCGCCAGTGTTCTATTGCTACTAGTGTCTTGAGATAACACGTCATGCTCAATCAATCTATGTCCCTATGTATTCCACCATAGCTTAGTGGTAGGAGCACAGGTCTTTGAGCCGGGTCGATGTCAACCTTTAACTGGTAGCTTATCGAAGAATCAATTTTTTTTTTATAATCGAAAGAGCTTTCTATAAGTCTGAATGAAACATATCATCTGCCCAACAATTCTTTATGTACTTGGCGCGCTCATAGCTCCAGTGGTAATTAGAGCACTGTCTTGTAATACCAAAGGGTCGTCGTTCTCAATCCTCACTAGGTGGGCTTATTTACGATCATTCTTGAAACTCTCTACTATTTGTTTTGAACCTTTTGTCAAGAAACTTAGCATTAAGCATCAACTTCACAGATATCTTTTCAGTAATCCACCATAGCTCATGCAGTTAGAGCATGGGTCTTGCTACCGGGGTCTGAGTTCTAACTCTATGGTGATTTATCTGAAGAAATCAATTTTTTTTATAATCGAAAGCAGCTTCTTTATGTAATGATCATGTCTTTGAATAGACCATTCATCTGCCAACAATTCTTTATAGGGACAAGCTGTAGGCTCATGATGGGTAAAAGCATGATGTTCGTTGACCAGGGTCGTCAGTTCAACTCTAGAAGTCTATTTGAAGAACAATTGTTTTTTAATGTGAAAGTCTATGAGGCAATTGAAGACTTCAAGATAGGAGACACACCCAGCCGAAGACAATCTATTCAGGCACTGTGTCAGCAAATCAGCTGTTAGAGCACTATCTTGTAAACCAGGGTCGTGAGTTCATTCCCTACCTGGTGGCGTTATTTGAACGAAACAAGTTTATTATTTATAATCGAAGAGTGCTTCTATGTTAGTTATGCTTTGCAAATAGATCACAGTCTTCAATCAAATATCTTTTAGTGTACTGTGTGCCACCATAGCTCAGTGGTATAGAGAACTGAACTTTAGTAAACCAGGGGTCGTGGGATTTAATCCTACTGATGGCTTATTTGAAAATCAATTTTATTTATAATCGCAAAGCGGATCTATGTAATAAGACTTCAGAGGGACACATCTCAGCGAATCAAATCTTTTAGAGCACTGTGTGCCGCCGAAGCTCAGTGGTTAGAGTACTGGTCTTAGAACCAGGGTCGTGAGTTCAATCCTCACTGAAGTGGCTTAGTTTGAAGAAATCAATTTTATTTAATCGAGTGCTCTACTGTATGCTTCTATGTAATAAGACTTCAAGAGTGAAGAGACACAATCTTCCAGCGGAACAATCTATTTAGAGCACACAATGACGCCACCACTTGGCTAATTAGTTTAGAGCACTGGTCTTTTAAACCAGGGGTCGCGAGTTCAATCCTCACTGGTGGCTTATTTGAAAATCTATTTTTTTTATAATCGAAAGAGCTTCTATGTAATAAGACTTCAGAGTGAGACACAATCTTCAACGGAACAATCTTTTTTTTTTTTGAGTACTGTATTGCCTGTAGCTCGGTTTAGAGCACTGGTCTTGTAAACCAGGGTTCGTGAGTTCAATCCTCACTGGTGGCTTATTTGAAGAAATCAATTTTTTTTATAATCGACAGTGCTTCTATGTAATGAGCTTCTATGTCTTTGTGTGAAACACAGTCATCTGACCAACAATCTTTTTAGAGTACTGTCTGACAACATGGCTCAGTGGTAAGAGCACTGATGTTGTAAACCACGGGTCGTGAGTTCAATCCACACTGGTGGCTTATTTGACGAAAACTATTATTTTTAATGGACAGCGCTTCTACGTGAGAAGACTTCAGATGAGACACAATCTTCAGCCGAACAATCTATTCAGAGTACTGAGTGCCACCATAGCTCTGAGTGCCAACAATCTCTTTAAAGTCCTGCGTGCCACCATAGCTGAGTAGTAAGAGCACTGATCTTGTAAACCAGGGTTCGAGAGTTCAATCCTCACTGGTGGCTTATTTGAAAATAAATTTTTTTTTTAATCGGCGCTTCCATGTAAGAAGACTTCAGATGAGACACAATCTTCAGCCGAACAATCTTTTTTGAGTACTGTGTGCCACCATAGCTCAGTGGTTAGAGCACTGGTCTTGTAAACCAGGGGTCGTGAGTTCAATCCTCACTGGTGGCTTATTTGACGAATACAATTTTGTTATTGTCCACAGCGTTTCTTTCTAACTAGTCTTTAGAGATATTTTCAGTCAACAGCTCAACAATCAACTTACAGTCCTGCGTACCACCATAGCTCTGCGGTTAGAGCACAGGTCTTCTGCAGCACGGGTCGTGAATTCAATCTTTACTGGTGGCTTATTTGAAGAAATCAATTTTTTTTATAATCGAAAGAGCTTCTATGTAATAAGTCTTTGAAAGAAACACATTCATCTGCCCAATAATATCTTCTGCTTTCGCGGCACGATATCAGTGGTCCAGTACTGGTCTTGTAAACAGGGGTCGTGGGGTTCAATCTTTTCACTGGTGGCTTATTTGACGAATACAATTTTGTTATTGTCCACAGCGTTTCTTTCTAACTAGTCTTTAGAGATATTTTCAGTCAAAAGCTCAACAATCAACTTACAGTCCTGCGTACCAATATAGCTCTGCGGTTAGAGCACAGGTCTTCTGCAGCACGGGTCGTGAATTCAATCTTTGCTGGTGGCTTATTTGAAGAAATCAATTTTTTTTATAATCGAAAGAGCTTCTATGTAATAAGTCTTTGAAAGAAACACATTCATCTGCCCAACAATCTCTTTATGGTACTGCGTGCCACCATAGCTCAGAGGTTAGAGCACTGGACTTGTAAACCAGGGTTCGTGAGTTCAATCCTTGCTAATGGTTTATTT